AGGAAGAAAGTTTAATGCTGCCAGACCAGAGGACTGTCACCCCCGAGCTCCCAGCCCCTTCACCGTCTCCCGTGTGCTGCTGTCCAGCGCTTGGGTGACTCAACTGCTCTTTTCCCTACTGTCCTCATTGAGCTTTAGTGCACTAAGTGAAAGACAAGATCTCCTGAGCTGTCAGTGCTGTTGAACCATTTCTGCTCTAAGGAAGTGGTGAGGAAGGAATAAAGATAAAAATGTAAGGACTACCAGACTGTGCTAGGCCAAAGGTCCAAGTGCCTTTGACAATAACCAGTGGAAGATGCCTAGGAAAGGATATAAAGTCAGGCCAGCACTAGTGACCTTTCTCCCGAATGGTCTCCCGGCAATTTGTTATTTAGGGGCTTTCTGAGCCAAAGGTGGTGTCTTTGTATTTAGCAGCATTTTTTCACGACCTGTTTTTGAATCCATTTAAACTTTTAGTATCGACTTGTTCCTGTTACGAGGACTTCTGCAGTTAATGATGCATTGAGTGAAGAAATATTTCCTTTTCTTTGTTACGAACCAGCTCTATTCATTTGCTCTCACCTAGTTTTTGTATTACAGAAACGGTGAACAACCATTCCCTGTTCATATTGTTTCCATGTCTCTTGTGATTTTACATATTTGGCATCCTTCCCCCACCACCTCTTTTCCAGAGAGAACCCCTAGTTTCTTGTAAAGAAACTGTCTCACATTTTTAATTTGCCTTATCATGCTAATCTATTTCTTTTCCAGTTCTGCAGTGTTTTTACTGAGGTACAACCAGGTTTGTGCCTGATGTTAAAGATATGGACAAAATGTGACTTTAACGGTTGTCATAATTATGTTGTCTGTTTTATTCTCTATGCTATTTGTAATCATTTTTAGCGTTGGATTTGCTTTATGGCAGATGATTTCTTGGAATTAATATTTCTGTAATTATAACAGCTCTAGATCTCATTCCTCAGTTATAATATTCAGCTCAGAGTTCACCATAGGGTGTATGATGACACAAATGTTTCCTGAATGTGTAACTTTGCATTTATGGGTACTGAATGTCATCTGTTGTTTTAGCGTGCATTCCCTGGTGACCAGGAGTTCCTATTCCATCTCTTCTCACAGTTCATTGTTACTACTCACAGTAACATAGTATCATCAGCATCTCCATGCTGAATATGGTGATATGAAATATCACCATCTCCAAATTAGCCTCCTTTTCAAGGTGATTTCTTAGTTAAGTTGAACAACACGGGCTTGGGGCAAAGATGCCTGTAGGACAATAAGGTAACTTTCCTTCACTGTGAAAATGATATATTTATTCTTACCCATTGTTTTAATCTAACTTTTAACTACTTATTTTTCCATGTAAAGATCTTCCCTCTTGCTCCTTGGCAGCTTTGGTGAGGAAGGTTGTTTGCTACTTTGGAAATGCAAGTTTACTAAATCAGGGCTTGTTTTCCATGCGTGAATGTGCTAAGTTCCTCCTTCCCCTAGGAGTATCGAGCAGTCCTCACCTTGCCCCAAGTCTTTCCGCCTCTGAGTGAATAATCTTGTGCATGCAGGCTTCATACAGCAAGACTGTTTGACCTCCATCCTCTTGTGTTAGCTGGCTTTGTTTAGAAAAGTAAGATCAGCCAGGCAAGAGCAGCCTAGCAGGCTTAATGTCAGAAACATCTGGTTGTGAGTAATACTCGATTCGGTAAAATCAGTGATAATTTTGCTTCATAATTTTCCTTTTGACACATTGTACCTAAGTGAAAAAATATTTCCTGACTGCCTTATGTCTTGTACCAAGTAGCCTGAAATTCAGTGAGCTTTTTAGTTAGGGGGTTTTATCATCCTGTAGATAAATTACTTTGAATCATAATTAAATTAGGTGTTGCTTTTTAAAATTCAGCTAGAAATGTTTGTCTTCTTTGAAAAGGACCTTGGGAAGTTTACTGTGCTGAGAGGTGAAGATTTGGAAGCAGTTGGGTTCTCACTCTTCCTTGCTAACAACCTGGTGTGTGGTCTTTGGCAAATCCCTTAGTGACAGTCATAAAAGGTATGCAGCCCCTGAAGAGGTGCCTAGGCTCCTCGGGAGAGTTTGCAAAAGCATCTGTGTGGCTAACGTCAAAACGCTTTCACTTCTTCACCAGCTGAAGTGAACACCAAAAGTCACACAGGTCCAGTAATGCAGGCCCAGCCTTTAGTGCCCTCGCGTGAATTTCTGGCCCCACTGAACCCAGCCTGAGTTTTGCCTTTCAGTGTAACGAGGGCAGGAATTCTGGTCTGGCGTGTAGAAATAGGCGATAATGATAACAAGGGTTAATTGGCTTTTATCGTGTAGCTTATTCATTGAGAACTCATTGATGTCCAGGCAGAGCTCTGAAGGTGAAAAGAAGCCTGCCCTATATAGCGGACAAATGCAATTGTCACTTCTGTCCTAATTTATGAGAGAAAGATGAGATTGCGTCAGATTATGAACCAGGAGTAGCAGTTCATTTGCCTCAGGATGGAACAGCAGTTCATGATGAAAGGTGGCTCACCATAGGCAATGCTGATGGTGACAGTTGTAATTACTGGTCAAATTAGTGTCCCTGCTGTCTTGAAGAGCACTGAGATACTCAGAAACGTCCTTCCCCTGTGAGATTTTGTGTGTTTCTGTTGATGATCCTGCAGCACGTTATGCATTGGGAGCCATTTCTGGTATATGCCAGGGCAAAATATGTAAATAGCATCATGTTGGCTCGGGATAAGAGCATTATTAATGCTTTTCAGCACTGTAATTATATTCATAGTAAGCCTTCCCTAAGCCCTCACTAATTAACAATATTGTGACAAATCAACTTTAACAGAAAAGAGCTGCGGACCTTTAGTCATTTAGTACTGTTTTTCATTCAGCCCACAGCCCGAAATTGGTAGCATGGTTTTCTGTACTAGTGTTGGGAAAACTGCTGATGTTTGAAAAGTTCAGAGCCAGCTCGGTCTTGTTAGTGGAATCCTGTAGATGAAGTCAGTTTGATTCCTCTTTAAATATATTCACAAGAAAGTAAGATTCATTAGTTAATCATTAATGTGGGGGAATATTAAAACTGCTTTTATAAATAAGCCACCATATTGAAATAGTTTAGTAATGTCAATATGTTGTCACAGGCACATTTATTTATTTATTTATTCCAAATCACAGGACATTTTACAAGATACCTTAATTTTCAAATTAAATGGCTTTATAAATATTCTTATCAAGTGATCAAGATTTGTAACATCTTTAATCCACGTACACAAATGAACTTGCTATCTAAATGTCAGGATTTCTCTGTGCCTTTATTTTCTTCATGTAGAATAATTCCAGATGAAGGCTGTTAGTTTTGTTGGGTTTTTTTCTTTTTAATTTGTACCCCAGAAGATTTTCCTCCCCTGCAAGAATAAACCGTAGGGCACATGAAATCACTGACCAGCAGTTTCTCTGATACTGTGCTTGCTATGATCGCAGCATTACATGTACTGACTCTTATCGCTGTACCATTTCACATCAGGTCTGCAGAACTGGACTTTCTCTGTTTGTTCTTCTCATGCATTGGTAGATAAAATGTATTCACAAGTCCAAAAAACCGAAGTGGTGTTCTCATATTAGGTTGATTATAAGTCAGCTGTTGAGCGTCAGTGGTCTAAACATTTCATTCTTCAGTTTTGTTGGGAGCACACGTGTGCTGGGAGGCTTTTAAACAAATACTTGAAATGGTTGAAAGATTTACATTGCCAGTGCCTAGCTAAATATGTAGTCTTTAGA